CTTGCTTTTTATATAGCAATGCTTAATATTCATTTATCACATGTATTCCCTAACTTCACAAATGAGGAATAAATTCAGCAGTCAACAAAGTCTCATGACTGTAACGGTTAACAAAACAATAAAAAACTAAAAGCACTACATGACTGGTTAACGAGAGCTACACAGAGAGAGGTATCTGCTCATTATTGACCAAATGGCCATTAAAGCCAAATCACGAAAACAAAAAAAACTTAATCCATAGGAAAATGATAAAAGCAAAAAGAGAAAAGAACAAACTGACTGAAAATAAAGAAGCAGAAGGTTAAACAGAGAATAGAGACAGAAAGCAAATGGCAGATAGCTACAGGGCAATAGATTAAAGTCAGTAAATGACAACAGAGAATGGACAAGACCAAAATAAGGAGAAAAATGAAAGACTAATCAGAACAGTGAATCTCTGAGGGGGAATATATCAAAATAAACACCTATCCGCCACTTGAGTCCTCTTTCTTATTGTTATAATAAAGGTGGTCATTATAATGGGCATGTGTTACTTACACAGAGTGAAACTGTTAAGTGTGCTTTATTTACAGGAGGGAGTATATAGTCCAATTTGAAATCATTTCTTTCAAAAACAATCTATCTAATTTATTTATTATTGTGTATATTTAAAGTATACAAAAATGTAAAACATGATGTTCTGATATGCATGTACATGTACATGACATACATATGCATGTAAAATGATAATGATCATCAAGTATAGTATTGTATCCATCATCTCACACAATTGCTTTTTTAGTACTAAAAGCACCTATATTAAATAGGTGTCCTAAAAGCATCTATATTAAATACTTAAAGCACCTATACTAAACAATGGAATATTATTCAGCCTTTAAAAAGAAAATATTGTTATATTTGACAACATGGATAAACCTGGAGGATATTACAATAAGTGAAATAAGCCAGACACAGAAAGAATTACAATAAGTGAAATAAGCCAGACACAGAAAGAAAAATACTACATGAGCTCACTTACATGCAGAATCTAAACTTGGAAAAAAAAAACTTAAAATTTAAAATTTTTGTTTTTCGAATCAATGGACAAATTTACTTTAAGAATTACCTGGAAAAAATAAAAGCTGTCTCCTTCAAAGCATTTTATTCCTTAGTAATTCTGTTAAGTGAAATAATGTTATGCAAAAAAGACAGTAACAACAATGTAGGTTTAGCTCCTAGCACAGGAGGTCTGAGTATGCTCTTTGCTAAGTGCCAACCTCACAATTCCACTTCCCTAGTAGACGATACACTTCCCAGGACTCTCCCCACAAACAGCATCAAGTAGTAACTTTGGTCTCCACGGACAATGGAGCAACATAGAGGAGTAACACGAACATGGAAGAGACATGGTTCTTTATTGTATTTAACTTCCAATTTGTATACATAAAAGAACCCCATATTTGAAGAAACCTTTCAAGGATCAAGCTCTTTGATTTGTATACATATTATAGAATCCATGTATGCTACCTTTTAGAAATAAATATATATTCTATAAGTTAAGATTCATTAGACACTTAAATACCATTTTGCTATTTGTAGCTTACCAACCTTCCCTCCTCAGGAATCCAAACCAGAAAATGTGATCTGGCAGTATTATAAGTGTTCTTACCAGGAAAGAATAAAGAGAGAAAGTTAAAAAGAAGGAAGGAGGCCGGGCGCGGTGGCTCAAGCCTGTAATCCCAGCACTTTGGGAGGCTGAGGCGGGTGGATCACGAGGTCAGCAGATCGAGACCATCCTGGTCAACATGGTGAAACCCCGTCTCTACTAAAAATTACAAAAAATTAGCTGGGCATGGTGGCGCGTGCCTGTAATCCCAGCTACTCAGGAGGCTGAGGCAGGAGAATTGCCTGAACCCAGGGGGCGGAGGTTGCGGTGAGCCGAGATTGCGCCATTGCACTCCAGCCTGGGTAACAAGAGCGAAACTCCGTCTCAAAAAAAGAAGAAGAAGGAAGGAAGGGAGGGAGGGAGGGAGGGAGGAAAGGAGGGGAGTGAGGAGAGAGAGAGAGAGAGAGAGAGAGAGAGAGAGAGAGAGAGAGAGAGAGAGAGAGAGGTGGGTGGGAGAGAGAGAGAAGAGAGAAAGAAAGGAAGGAAGGAAGGAGAGAGAGGAAGGGGGAGAGAAAGAAAGAAAAAAGAGAGAGAGAGAAAGAAAGAGAGAGAAAGGAAGGAAGGAAGGAGAGAGGGAGGAAGAGATGGAGGGAGGGAGGGAGGGATGAAGGGAAGGAGGAAGGAAGGAAAATGGTAATATAATGTGAAGTGATAGAAATATTTATTATCTTGATTTCATAAATTATTTTATAATGTATATATATGTGTCAAAACATGATATCATGTTCCTTAATTGTATACATTTTTTAGTTGTCAATTATAGCTCAAAAAAAATGGTAAGGGAGTGGAGGGAGTCTGTAGATTGCCAAACATGTTCTGTGCAAAAGAACTATGTAACCTGAATGAAGTTGTGCAAACAAACAATAAACACAGTCACTCCCTCCCATAAATAGAGCACAGTGAACAGTCTGACTATGTGTGAATGATACATGCCCATTATAATGACCACCTTTATTATATCACTTAAGAAAGAGGCCTCAATAGCTGATATGGTGTTTATGATGATACACACACACACACACACACACACACATATATATGTATATGTATATGAAAAAGATGTATATGTATATAAAAAAATGAAGTGTATATTCGGTAGATATTTTCTCATTAATTTAATCAAATCTACATTTGGAATAAGTTTCCAATCTACAATAATTACTATATTCTGTAAACATACAGGATACCTACATACTTTAAAAATATTAACATAAAACAAAATAATTCTCAATGTTTAGAAAGCACATTCTATGTCATGCTACTTTTATAAGTATGATTTGACCAGTGTCATATCTGCGTCTGGATCACCATAAGCCATATCATGGCAAAGTTTGTCTTTTGAAATTATGTGGGGAGATGGAGAGGAGAAGAAAGGGAAGGAGAGTGAGAGAGAAGAAAATCAAACTTGGATAAATCCTGAAGCTCAGATACTGAAGAAAAGGAGTCATGTCTTATTCTTCTTTTTATCTTCTATATCAGCTAGCACAATGCTTAAATTCACTGACTGATAACTCAGAAAATGTGCTGAATAAATCAGTGAATGAAAAATTCCAAATATGAACTCATCTATGGTAATTGTAATACAGTATTTATCTTCAAAGTAGAAGGCCTTTAGTTAAATTCTGTATTGTTGATATATTAACAATTAGACTCACTTCTATACAAATTAATTTTCATTTCTTATAACTATCTGATTGTAATACCATGAGAGAGGGAAGTAGCAAGTTAGACTTTGTTTCAGTTTTTTTTCCCCCGCTTCATTCTTTCTGTCCAGAGGCTCTAAACTTTGAGTGGTCACTCAAAAGTCACCAAAGTCATAGTGACTCTGATATCCACAAAAGGTAAAATATACCTAATATTCACCAAACATTTATGGATATCATCATTTGGGTCATCAGTACCCTTGATGGCTACTGATACTTATATGTTGGTATATTTTACCTTTTTTTAATCATTATTTGGGTCATCAGTACCCTTGATGGCTACTGATATTTACATGTTGAGGTTACAAACATATAAATATTGAAATCTACCAGTAATCTTTCTAAATACAGATCTGACTATCTCCATTCCTTCATTCTTTGCCTACTGATAACATTAAAACTCTTTCTTTTTCTTTTCCTTTTATTTTATTTTTTTTTTTTTTTTGAGACAATCTCTCACTCTGTTGCCCAAGCTGGATTACAGTAGTGTAATCTCTGCTCACTGCAACCTCTACCTCCTGGGTTCAAGCAATTCTTCCTGTCTCAGCCTCCCCAGCAGCTAGGACTACAGGCATCCACAACCACACCCAGGTAACTTTTGTATTTCTTAGTAGAGCTGGGGTTTCACTATATTGGCCAGGCTGGTCTGAACTCCTAACCTCATGATTCGCCTGCCTTGACCTTCCTAAGTGCTAGGATTACGGGGATGAGGTTCCGTGCCAGGTCTAATATTAAAACTCTTAACTTATTACACAGTATTCTCACTTTTCTCTCCAGGTTCTTAGGAGGTAGAATCCTACCATTATTCATCTGTATAAGGTCACTCGCTGCATGGCATACACCTTGCCTTCTAGAAGATACTCAATAAACATTTTTTGAATAAATTACTGTAAAATGAAGAAAATCTATGACAAATCAATGCATCATTAGCTGTAACTAGTGTAATGCCATGTCTATATCTAACCCCGTTTTTAGTTTAAGTATTAGAATCTTAAAGCCACTTGACAGGTTTGATTTCCAAATCAATGAATAAAGATAAATAAAAGGTCCTTATCATATGCACAGAAGGAAAAGTAGAAATGTAAGAGATAAGCTTGCCTAAATAATAAAAGATGAATAAAGAACTAATTTTTAAATAAACTTGAAAAGAAAACATAAGAGATTTTTATCTAAAATCTATAGAAATAATATTTAAAATAACCTATGTGTTCATTTGAAACCACAATAGATAAAAACATTGTCTAATTTTTATGTGTCAAGTTCACAGTCAGAATGCATAATCTGAGGACTCTAATTAAGCTGTTTCTGCAACTATATTGAAACAGTTTAAATAGTAAAATAGAATCTAGATTAGTGTTCAATAAAATAATTTTAAGATATATATCAGAATTGTCTGTATATAATTTTAGAAATTAATGTAAATCATCCTGAGTTCTAGATAATTAACCACATTTTAAATGGTTTTTTTTGGATAATGTAGTAATTTATTAATGTATGTCCACAAAAACTATAGAGTTAAAAAAAATTAACCTGGACTACTAGAATATTTTCCATGAAGATCTCTCAGTAGAATGAGGCAAACATTTTAAAATCTTTTTATGTGGAAACATTTTATAAACAAACTACAAGTAAATCATTTTAGAAAGTCATACCTGCAAAAGAGTTGTTCTGTGGAGCTTTAGTGCCCCTTTCTGGTGAATTTTAGCAAAGCATCCTGAACAATAATCTTCTCCACATTCAAGGCATACCTAAAAAGATATTTTTTTAAATATTATATAATCTTATAAAAAAGTATGATTTTTAGAAAGTGTTGCATAAAGATATCATGTTTTTAATATTTATTTCTCTAATTAAATACCTATATCATTAGAATTGAGCAGCCTGTCCCCAAAAGGTAGGACAACTAGTTGTCCCAGTAAAGTCTTAACTCTCGGAGGAAAACTAATTTGTTAATACTAATTATTCTCATATCAAAATTAATGTAGTAGTTTTCATGTAGGTTTTAGGTGTATATTTTAGATTCATGGATGTATGCATAGTTTTCAAATAAATCACAAAACAACCAATAGCCTCAGGTCAAATTTCTTGACCTGGTAAAAACTAAACAGCATTATCTCTGGGTGAATACTCCTTCATTTTTATGACTTATTTTATCTTTCTGTATGAATTTACATGACATAATTAGTTTCAAATGATATGCATACTATTTGTCTTCCAAAATCACTGTACATGTTACTGAAAGGCACTCCTTTACTGGTGGTTCTCAAAATGTGGTTTAAAAATTTTACTTACAAACATCTCCAAAGTAAAATATATATATATATATATATATATATATATATATATATATATGAGAAAAATGCTGGCTGGAACTACATTACCATGTCTGTGATGTTAATAACTGATAAAATGATTATGGGCAAGTTTATATTTAACTTCCAAATTACAATGTTAAAATGTAATTTTAAAATTGATGGGCAAGTTAAATAATGTAAAATACTTGTACCTATGATGGTGCCAAGCAAAACTGAAAGTGAAAAGAAAAGGAAATAGAAATTGGATGTCAGGTTCAAGATGGTTGATTAAATGCAGCTGGAGTTTGCCTTTCTATACACAGGAGCCAAAGTATCAAGTAGATATTCACATTTCAAATAGATGCCTGAGAGAGAACACTGGAATTCCACAAAGAGATGATGGGAGACACCAAGGGTGAAAAAAGGAGAAATGAGGCTTCCAGCATGGGGTCACTGGGACCTGGACCCAGGGAAGGAGTAAGTGAAGGACTTCCCAGGCTCCATTACATGGACCTCTGTAATCCTAACTATGGAGAGACCTGGGAGCCCCATAGGCCTCTGGACTAGCCTAGGGAGGTGCTGGATATCACACAGAGGAATTGCTAGAAGTTATGTGAAGTACCATAGGCTTCTGAATGCTGAGCAGCTGCATCAAGGTGCCATTCTTGGAGCCCATCCCCCAAGTGTCAGAGTCCTGCCCAGAGGCCGCTCTGTCGCTCTTCCTGCCTGCTGGGCCAGGGAGCAAAAGGGGAGTCTGTGTGTTCCCATGCTCTGCCACTACTGCTGGATGACCCAGGCACATTCAGATTATGCACCCCATGCCTGTCAGTCTTTCCCAAAACTCTCTGCTGGCCTTTCCATTAGAGGACATTCTGCCCTTCCTGGTGACTGGCCCACACACAACCATCCCTGACCCACAAGTGTTCAGCTGGTGACCTGGAATTAATCCACCCCTCCTTATCACAGCCAGCTAGGGGGAGCTATATAGCATCAAATGCATACATCAAAAAGATAGAAAGATCTCAAGTTAACAACCTAACATACATTCCAAGGAACTAGAAAAACAAGAACAAATCAAACCCAAAGCTAGCAGAAAAAGAGAAATAACAGAGATCAGAGAATAAATAAATGAAATTGAGACAGAAAAAAATGTTTAAAAAAATCAACAAAATGAAAAATTGGGCTTTAAAAAAAATAAATGAAATTGATTGACCACTAGCTAGATTAAGAAAAATGAGAGATAATTCAAATATGCACAATCAGACATGATAAAGGTGACATTACAAGTGATAACACAGAAATACAAAAGATCATCAGCGACCACTGTGAGCATCTCCACACATAACCTAGAAAACATATAGAAAATGGATAAATTCCTGGAACGCACAGCCTCTCAAGATTGAAATCCTAACAGACCAATATGAGTTGTAAAGTTGTATCAGTAATAAAAATCCTCCCAAGAACAACAATGGAAAGAAGCCCAAGATCAACCAGATTCACGGCAAATTCTACCAGTCATATAAAGAAAAATTGATACCAATACTACTGAAACTATTTCAGAAAAATCAAGGAGGAAATACTCCCTAGTATTCTAAGAAGCCAGTCTAACTCTGATACCAAAGGCAGGCAAGGACGCAATACAACTAGAGGCCAATACCACTAATAAACATAGATACAAAAATTCTCAAAAAAAATACTAATGAATTGAATCCAACAATATATCAAAGAGATCTACTCTAAAATCAAGTGGGTTTTATCCAGGGGATGGAGGATGTTTCAACGTATGCAAACAAATAAATGTGATTTACCACATAAACAGAATTGAAAACAAGATTATGTGATATCTCATTAGATGCAGAAAAAGCATCTTATAACATTCTGCATCACTCCATGATAAAAACTCTCAACTAAGTAGGCACAGAAGAAACACTCCACAAAATAATAAAAGTCACAGACAACAAACCCCAGGCAACATCTTACTAAACTGGGAAATATCTAAAACATTCCCCCTAACAATTAGAAAAAGACAAGGATGCCTGCTTTTGCTACTTCTATTCAACGTAATATTGGAATTCCTAGTCAGAACAATCAGGCAAAAGAAAGAAATAAAAGGTATCCAAATTGGGAAGGAGGAAGTCAAATTATTTGTTTGCTAATGATTTATCCTATACCTAGAAAACCCTAAAAATTTCTCTGAAAGACTCATCAATTGACTAGCTAAAGAAAATATCAAATATATACCATGGAATACTACTCCACTGTGAAAAAGAATGATATGTCTTTTACAGCAACGTGAGTGGAACTGGCTGGAGGCCATTACCCTAAGTGAAATAACTCATAAACAGGAAGTCAAACACTGCCTGTTCTTACTTGTATCTGGGAGAGCTAAACAATGGGTGTTAGCTAAACACTCAGCTAAACAGACATTGTAGAAAAATAGACTTTGGAGATGCCATACAATGGAAGGGTGGGAAGGGGGTAAGGACTGAAAAATTACATAGTGGTTACAATGTTCCTATTCAGATGATGGGCACTAAAAGCGCAGACTTCATCACTATGCAATATAACCACGTAACAAAATTTCACTTCTACCAACTATATCTATAATAATAATAATAAATTCTAATGGAACAATGAGATGATATGTTTTATCTCATTTAATCCTCACAACAACCCTATAAGTTTAAAATCATCTTTGTATCTCCATAATGAAGAAGAGATAACAAAGGAATATAAAGATGAAGAATTTGTCCAGAGACATACAAGCTAATAATGGTGGGACAGGAACTTAATCCTACCATGTGGCTCAAAGCTTAAGCTCTTAACCACAACACACATTACTAATCATTAAATTAATCATTTGCAATCAACTACAATAGTAATCAGTTACAGATACTCCTCAACTTAAAATGTGGTTACCGCCCAATAAACCCATCATAAATTGAAAACATTGTAAGTTGAAAAGGCATTTAGTACAACTAACCTACTGAGCATCATAACTTAGCCAAGCCTACCTTAAATGTGCTCAAAACACTTACATTAGCCTGTATTTGGGCAAAATCATCTAACACAAAACGTGTTTTATAGTAAATTGTTGAATATCTTGTGTTTCTTTAACCTTCTTGATCACATGGCTGACTATGAGCTTCCTAGCATCGTATATTACCACATATCAATAGCCTGGGAAAATATCAAAATTCAAACTTTGAAGTATGGTTTCTACTGAATACATATTGCTTTTACACAACATAAAGTCAAAAAATTGTAAGTCAAAAATAGTAAGTCAGGGACCATTTGTATTGAAAAACCTTGATAAAATCCACAATAAAATAAAATTCAGTATTTAAAATGAGTACATGATCTAGTATGTATCAAAATCCAAATATATATTTTTCACATGTGATTAGCTATAACAGGATGACTTTTTACTTAATCTGAAGAAAAACAAACACTATCCCTAGCATGAAAACTAGTCCTCTCTTTTCATTCTTGTTTTATGAGCTTTATTATTCTAGAGAAATGATAAAAGCATTATCCTAAATCCATATTTTAAGTGTAATATAAACTTTAAAACTATAATTTTACAAATATACATGGTTATATCATTATATTAATATGGATTTTAAAACATATTCTGCATAATTTTATTTAATATAACTTGCTAATTTTAAGTGACTTTCTCATAAACATTTGGTACTGTTTTTACACACTATAATGCAGAAAACTGAAAATGAGTTGCAGCATATAATCCTAAGCCAAGTATCTGTTAACAGCATACTTTTACTAAAAGTAGCCAAACGAATATTTGTAGACTAAAAGATCAATGCTGGACTTGCAGTATAAGCTTATATGTTTTGTTATGCAAAGATAATATTTAAATTAAAATTGGGTTAAAATGACCTCCAATGGAAAAATCTTTTTAGGCAGTTTGTACAAATGGCAGAAACGTGGTAAAAATGCAAATAAGGACTCCATTCCACCACACATGCTTCTTCAACGATGGAATTCCCAAGTGCAGTTTTAACAAATATCTTGTTAACTTGACGAATGCCAGAGCAGTTGTGCTAAGCTTCAGAATCCATTTGATTTTAATTAAATTATTCACATTTGTCAAATTAATATATAGGAAATGTGGAATTTTTGGGCTTCGTCTTTGCCGTCAATACATGTAAATGGATCAGGTCATAAAAAAAAGTGCCAACAGCAAAAGCACACTGTTTATTGTCTTCAGTCTGTGTGCTGGACACAATGCTAAATACTTTACATGTATTAACTCATTGTGTGTGATAACTTTGAGGTACAGATTACTGTTATCCCTAGTAACCTATTTCACAAATAAGGAAACAGAAATAAAGAGGGATTAAGTCATTTGCTGAAGGTCACATAGCTAATAACAGGTAAACTTGAGTTTCAAATTCCCAAAATACAAGCTCTTAACTCACATCGTCCATACACAATTTTCCCTGGTGAAGGCCAAGGAAATATATATATCCTTTATATATATATATATCTCCACATATACACATATGTGGCCTTCAAATATATATATATATTCACTCTAATTATCCAGTCAGCATAACCATATGCAATGACAGATGCTAAGAACACAAGATAACATCAGAGTTTAACAATATCACGGTCTACTTCATTAAATCTGCCTAACTTGAATTTTTAAATAGCTTATTACTATGTTTTGACAACTAACATGGGATATTATTTGTATTTCAAATAAAAGAACATTCTTTCTTAAAATCTTTTTAAAGAATGCTTAGGGCCCAAATTCTGGCTTGTCTACACAATGCTTTTCAGGTAAATCAGCTATTTAATCACTGCATATAGTGTCATTCTCGTGTGCCTTCGAGCCAAGACACATGCTGCTTATCCTGTCTACAATATCCTCCTTACTTTTCCTTCTTTCTTGAAAAGCATATCCTTTAATTTCAGGTCAAGCTCTATCTACTTGTGTCGTATGTTCACGTTCCATGGCTCAAGTGTTTAACACAAAGTAGGAGTCACAAAAAATATTGACTTATACCTCCTATATAATTCCTTTTCAGATCCTGAGCAGCAGACCCCAACAATTTAATTCAACCTGTACCCTTTTAGCTTTAATACTTTTAACTTATGAAATATTAGCATTTCTTAATAATTTTTACAAATTTCTGAACAGTAATAATTTTTTGAGATTCCTTAAATTATTGTCCAACATCATATCAAATAAGGAAACAATATGATGTAATAAGTATTCTATTACCAAGACCTAGGGTTTTACATTTAATATTGCTATTAGCTCTTTATTAGATGTCCAGCATTCTAAATTGGAGTTCAGTTAAAATTGCCATTAAATAAACCTAATAATATAGATTTAAGTCAGAAATGATTATGAATAAGTTCTCTAAAATTATAACATAATATACAAATATTAATTTACATAATCATTAAATTCTTTGAAGAGGAAACTGCTTTTTACCTATGTGTTATATGGAAAATTGCAAATGACACTGCAGCATCTTCAATGCTAACTGAAAGGAAAATATGTCTAAATTAAGAGAAGGTCTATATTATTAAATAGTTTCAAAGAAATAATTCATTACTTAAATATTTGTTGAGTGCCTACCACACTGCAGGCATAATTCTAAGTGGTAGGCACACAGCAGTGAAAAAAACTAAACTCCTACCCTTATGAAGTTTATATTGTAGATAAGAAGAAAATAAAAAAATATTATATAGTAAATGATGATCAATATTACACAGACGAATGAAGTAGGCGTCACAAAACTGGAGAGTGCAACTCAGCTTTTACCATTTTATAAAGGGCTATCAATATAGGAAATATTTGAGTTGACATTTATTGATATGAGGAAACTGTGAGAGAACACTATTTATTGGAAAAAATTAAGGGCTCAATTTTGAACATGTTAAAATAGTGATGCCTACTAGACATCCAATAAAGGTGTTAAGTAGGTAGATTGAGCCAAAAAATCAGGGGGAGGTATAAGGTGATGTGTATATTAGGGAACCATCAATATGGATATGGTCTTTAAAGCCAAGGGAGTGATTGACATTACTGAAGAGTAAGTATAGATGGACAAATTAGAGGCCAAAGGACTGAGCCTTGTGGCATTCCAACATTACGAGGTCAATACAGAAAACTGACAAAGACAGAGAAGAAACAGATATCAATGTCAAATGAAATCAAGAGGTCGTGGTGTCCCAGAAGCAGCCAACTGAAGAAAGTCATAGATGAGGAGAGGGATACTGTACTATAAAATGCTCCTAATACATTAAGAACTGAGAATTGACCATTGTATATGAAAATGTGGAAGTAACTGGTTGACCACTACAAAAGCAGTTCCTGGATAGTAGTGGACACCCGAGACTGAATGGAGAGAATTCAAGAGAGAATGGGAATGCAGTAATTCCAATTCTGGGTATATACCAAAAAGAATTGAAAACAGGGTCTTAAAGAGGTTGCCAAAAGGGGAAGCAACTTAAGTGTCCACCAATGGATGAATAGGTAAACAAAATGTGGCACATACGTGCAGAAGAAATCCTGTCATTCCAAATATGGATAAGCCTTGAGGATATAATGCTAAGTGAAATAAGTCACTAACTAAAAGGCAAATAGTGTATAATCTTACTTATATGAGGTAGAGTAGCCAAATTCTCAGAGACAGAAAGTAAAGTACTATTTGCTAGGGGTTGGGGGGAAGCGGGAATGGGGAAATGATTGTTTAATGGGAACAGTGTTTCAGTTTTGCAAGATGAAAACAGTTCTGTGAATGAATGCTGGTAATGGTAGCATAACAATGTTAACCTACTGAATGCTAAAGTGTACACTTAAAATGGCTAAGTTGATACACTTTATGTTATGTGTATTTCACCATAATTTTTAAGTGTTCATGAAATTGGTACCAATGAGAAGTGAAAGAGTAGTCATAATTTTCTGTAACTTTTTTATTTCACTTCACAGCTTGTAAGAGAGGAATGTATGTCATTTGTGAGAAAAGACAAAAGACATACACAAAGTCCATAGCAGTCTTAAACATGATAGCAAAAATACTGAAACAACCCAAACGTCATTCTGCATATGAGTGGATAAACAATTTGTGTAAAATGGAATACTATTCTGTAATACAAATGAACACATTACTAATAAATTTAATATGGCTGAATCACCATGTAGAGCAAAAGAAGTCAAAAATATATACTATATCATTCCATTTACATAAAGTTCAAGAACAGGTATCACTAAATCTACAGTGTTAAAAATCAGGACAGTAGTTGCTGTCAATCAACTACTTGGTGTTGATTGACAAAAATCAATCCCTTTGGTGTTGGGGATTGATTGGGAAAATGCCCATGGGAATTTTCTGGGGGTACAGGTAATGTTCTAGGTCTTGATAGAAGTGGACACATTAATCAAAAGGCCCATCGGATTGTACATTTAAATCCATCCATTTCATAGTAAATTATTCCTCAGTTTTTAAAAAATAGACAATGGGAAGATAGAATATGATGACAGCAAGTTTAGACAACTCTTCAGAAGAGTTTTACAATAATGGGGTACAGACTTGGAAGTCAAAAAGAATTTTTGCTGTAGTTTTCGTTTGGTTTTGGTTTTGGATGGAAGACACTGCAGCATGTTCGTGTGCTAGTAAGTATGATTCAAAGGAGAGGGGACAAGGTCTAAGGTGATGTCATTAAACAAGAATGAGAGGATGAGATCCAGAGAATAAGTACAGGTGTTAGCTGTTCGCAGCAGCATGACCACTCAGCCCACAGTAACAGATATGAAGAAGTATATGGCTACCGAGCAAGTTGAGTTGAGAGAGGTGTATGAGGCCGTGTGAACGATCTATTCTAACTGCTTAATTGTACCTACTATACAGTATATGTATATATACACTATATAATGTACATACTAGTAAAGCAGCTTTGTTCTCACACTGCCCACAAACTTTCCCTTTTATCTTGGGTTTTTCACATTCAGAAGAATTTGCCATTTGATAATTAACTCTTGGTTTCACTGGCTCTGCAGGAAAAAAAAAAGTTAGTCCAGTCATTTAAAAATATAATGTTTAGTTTTCCAATCAATAAATTAATGAAACTATCCACATTTCCCATCTCTGGATCAAACTGAAGCCCACATAGAACAAATTCTAAACATTTATAATTTTATATATTAATAATGCATATATGAATGTAAATATATACATATTTCTAAATTTTTTCTATCAAATTATATTAATCATGAAACATTAAATGTGTTTATTATCCTCCAGAAAAACATTTTATTTCTTTAGGAATTATTATAAATTCAAATTATGTTTTTGCTTCTGCTATTATTTATTTATTTGAATATTTTTTTATTTTTTAAATTTTTCTAGAGTGAAATTTTAATTGATAATTTTATACTACTAAATTATCTTCCTTATTAAAACATTACATCAATAAAATTTAAAGAACAGTGCTGTAAAGTCTTACTTTTGCAAACTGCTATTATTATAATCATGTACTAAGTTTACATTTTTTGACACAAAAGCCCCCCAAAATACCCAAATAAAATTTATGTTGAAAATCAATGTGTCATGATTTGGGGGTTTAGAATCTTTATACGGTATGAACAATTCTAAAACTTTAATTTTACATGTAACTAAAATGGAAAAGAAAGTGAATTATGTCTTTAGCATTTAATAACATGGTGATAAACTATTTACCTTGAATCTGTTCCTTCAGTAATTTTAATTTCACTTTTCCAGCAGAAAACTGTATTAATAAAATAGATACTATTTGTCAGGTATACATTATCTTATTCAAAGAAAGTTTAAGTTACTAACAAAAATATTAGAAAGTTGTAGCCTTTGGTGCACTTTGAACAAAAATTTATTTTTAAAGAATAATATAAAATTAGTAGGAGATCATTGTTAAAGCATAAATGTACCGTTTAATTAATCTAATAGAAATTCATAAAAAAGAAAATAAATTTTGAAAATAATATGTAAACCTGTTTTTGAAAACATAAATTGGCTTTTAAACAAAAATCATTATATGTAATTATGAAATGCCTTTAGGAAATTGCTAGTATTCAAATATGGCAAAGGTTTAATAAATTTCTGTTTCTGCTTTTTCTGAGACACACAATCTTAATATTTGTGTAAACTGAATCTAAACTGAATTGTGACTAAGTTATTCTGCTTACATTGCTATAAAAACCCATATTATTATCTTATTTGCCCAATTTAGAGAACTACACGTTTAAGCATCACAGGCTTATCTTTAAAATATATTATTTATAATCCCTGACTGTCCTAAATATTAGCCCAAATAATGAATGAATAAGATTCACTGCTAGATATTTCAAATTAAACAACACTTAATATTTGGGGATTTTTATCATTTTAGGAAATAAAATAGACTTGCCAATTGAACATGCTTGCCTTGATCTTATTAAAACCAACATTTAAAGTACACAGACAAGAATGAAGGATAGTGTGCATTTATATAGACACTGTCAATTCAGACCTAGTTTTCAATTTGCAATTTGCATGCTCAATTGCTCAATTTGTACATGAGAATATGAGAACAATGGCTGCCTGTATATCTATGGCTGTACCAACTGCAGTCATCTGCAAATGTAGGCCTAATTATTCCCAGTGAATCTAGTGGTTTTGCTTCAAAGGGGCAGTTATTTTTCACATTCTTCAAAGTAACTGCTCAGATGCCATATAGCAGAAAAGAAAATATGATTGAAATCATCAATTTTTCTATGAACCACATGTTTATTTTTAAACTGCTAATGTTATACAAGTTACAGATAATCTAATCTCATCTTTCACAACCAAATTATCCAGTATGATTGCCTTAATGATACATCTGAATTGAAACATGATCAGTGTGGTTATAGGCTATCCTGGATGGAATGGATAGATATGCCCAAGTAAAAAGAAACCTATTATTAGGAAAATTGTGTAATTTGTTTTTATTATGAATAATATTGTTCTGCTCTATGAATACAGCCATGTTTATTTCAAGTAATTCAAATTGCATAAAAATATTTCAGTGAACAAACTGCTAGTTGCTATTTTTAGACAAATATCATTTCTTCATAGGTCTGATTTTTATCTGTTTGGGAAAGGGTTGGAGGTGGAACAGGGTTGAACCAAAGATACACATGCTTGCACAAACACATACATACACATATACACATGTACATATACATTTATACATACATACATGTATATAGAAAGATGGATATATGTATATGTTTGTATATACAAATGTCAGGAACTTACTACACTAAAGCCTATGCCTTATTAACCTGCTAACTCCTCCAGTAGTAGGTATTGAAGGGGTGCTATCAGGGGCCAGGAAAGCTTAGCAGATTTACCACACAGGTATATTATCTAATTCACTGGGGTAGGACTATGCTGTCATCATCAGCCTCCCTGGCATTCACAAATACCTCCAAGCTCCCACCAATGCCTCCATCTGCTACATTGTGCCCAAACTTCTCACACAAGTAGTCTTTCAGACATTCTCACTGTCAACCCAATTAGCTACTAAAACTGTGCAATTCTGTACTACTTGTCCTTCCTCCCAAAATACCCTGCCATTCCCGGGAGTGTCTATTAAATAGTCATCTATGTATCTTATGCTTTAAACCTTTCCCAAAAATGTGTCATTCAAAATTTACATCAACTGAAACTCACCTTTACTTAGACACAATCTTCACCAAAGCACTTCCCTCAGGACCTAGCTCCAGAAACTCCCTTTTACACACCAGGAGAGAGAAAATTTTTCGATTTGTTCTTCAGTGCTGTTTCCAGAATATTGTTCTGTTATCATTCAGCAAAGTTGCCTCTACCACGGGTCTCCACCATCCACTTGTTGCCTGTGTCAATATGTAGGATCTCTTCCACCTGAGCTTCAGCAACCTGCTCAGTATTTCTCTCCATCACATTTCTGCTTGACAATCTTAGAGACTTCAATGTACATGTTCACCTGACATCCTGGTTTGAAGACCCTTCACATACTGGCTACTGTGAACATCTAAATGCCTCTTCAGCCATCTCACCATTATGACCAAATCTGCCATGTAAGCAGTATTCTAAATAGCCACACCTTCAAAATCTCAGACTCAAAAAAGTTTTTCAATGCCAACTTCAATCACCTTATCTCTCCCCTCCGATACCTCCCATATCTCTGTACCGTTGCGATAAAAATAGTACTGTGGAGTCTCCCCCAAATCCATGCTGAACAACCTCAGTAGGCTCTGTGGCTCTTTGGCAATTCATTTACTCATTCGCTGCTAAACCCCAACCACAGTTCCTACAGTGGCTACTCCAGACCTCTTCATTCCCAAGAACTCAACTTTGTCCCGTTTTCCCTTCATTCACCTGAGCAAGTGACACTATCTTCAACTGTAAGAAAGTTGAGATCTTCCCATTAAAATGTTTCAGTGTTCTACCTTACCACTAGTCAGAAATAATCTCTAAAATTTATTTTACACACACACACACACACTCTCACACACAATGTGTCCTCCTTTCCTTAGTGAAAGTCTCTTTAATGAACCACCTCTTCAAAGACCACACCCCCAGCAACGACACCTCTTTCATCTACATTTTTACTCTTTCCTCTACTAGGATGTACATCTTTCATTGTACAAACTGGCTCACATCATCTTCCCAATTCTAGAAAAGAATATAATAAAGTCTTTCCTTGATTCTGTTAAACTCTCAGCTTTTGTGCTGGCTCCAATAGTCATTACTCACTGCTTCCCACCCTTTTCTTTTCAACCAATTGAAATCTACTCTCCTATTTAATATTGATACAATTATCAAATTTAGGGCTTTTGAATATTTTCCTTATCCAGAAATAGACATTTGAATGTGTGTTGTTTAGGTATCTCAAAGTGGTTTCACATATTTCAAAGAGTTTTTGACGTTGTTCGAAATCTCTTTGAAGTGTATAGTAGGTATTATTATGCATGTTTACAAATGTAATGAGGCTCAAAAAGGTTAAATGCATGTTAATCTATATAATCTAATACAGATTTCTAGAACTCAGCACCACTGACATTTGGGGCCAAATAATTCTTTGTTGTGGGGGTTGTCAAGTACATTGCAGGATGTTAAGCAGCATCCCTGGGCCACGCTCACTATACATCTTTAGCAAAAAATACACACACACACACAACAACAACAAAAATATTCCTCGCGGTGTTAACAACTGAAAATGTCTCCAGACATTGTCAAATGTCTCCTAGGAAGCAAAATTGCCCCCCTTGAGAAACACTGGTCTAAAAAGAGACTCAAAATGTTTTTCACTACACAATATATTGGACAATATTGACTTTATACTTTTTAAAAATGCTCTCCTTTACTTTTGTCCCTGTAACATTAAACTACTTCGATTTTACTTCTGCCATTCTTTTTCTTCTCAGTCTCTCTTCACTAGAGAGCTGGCAAATGATCTTAGACAAGCCTGAGAGCTTGCATGTCAAATCTTGGCCCTGACTTTTGACCCTGAGTGAGTTATTTGATGTTTTGATATTAAGTTATTTCATCTGTGAAACTGGAATAATAGCAACAGCTTCTTAGGAGTGATATAAGCACTTAATGAGATAAAACAGGAAAAGAAGCTAAACTGTTGACTGGCATTAAAACTTACTGAACTTATTGAATGAATATTAACGTTCTCTTTGCCAATATGTTCTACACAGTGGCTTTCTTTAAGGTTTATTCTTTACACCCCTCTACTTTTTACACATTTTTTAGGGAGCACATTTATTCTCTTAACTTAAACTTCACATGAAAATTCAAACAAAACTCTAAATCCATATCCTGTACTTTTCTAAGTCCCTTCTTTATGCTATTTATCTCTTAGTCAATCCAGCCTGTATGTCAATTACGTGTTTGACTCCCTCCTCTCCTTAGTCAATCCAGCCTGTATGTCAGTTATCTGTTTGACTCCCTCCTCTCCTTTGTTACTGTTTTTTGGTCCCATATTTTTCTTTATCTACTTTTCTACCCTTTTAATTTAGCCTCCTTTCATCTTACCTCTAGATTCTTTTAATAGTCTTACAAATAGCCTGTTTCTAGTGAGATAAGTTTGTTTTAATTTTTGGGTAAGAACTTTTATAATTCATTTTTCCTTAAGATAGGGAATGACACTAGAGAATAAAACGCTTTCTCAAAGCCAAAAACTTTAGACGTGCCAAGTAAGACGTTTGTAGATTCCAACTGATCCAATGAAAGTTTAATGATTGGGACATAAAAAACTAAAGCTGTGTAAGTTAATACTTACAAAGTTACAAATCTTATACTAAAGAATCCAGAAGCAAAACTGTTTTCCTTATGTAAAGACACTTACCTGATTTTCATCTTAAATATAATATAATATTTTATAGTGCACAGTAAAGAAATAACAATTCTATATCTGGGAAACCGAAGTTTTTTTTTCCTTGGGTGTCTTCACACATAGACTCAACAGTATATGAATAATAAATTATTACTCAAGCAAAATATAAAATATTAAACAAATGTGATATAAAAGTAGGAATAAAGTCTCTCGTTTGCTATATTAAACCTTTCACCTTAGTGTAGAAGTATCTAGTTGTATTTTACATAATTTTAAACCAGATCCATACTGAATGGAAAACTTCAGTTTGGAATATGGAAAAATTCACTGCAAGTTAAAATTTTGAAATCAACTTGTAGCTGAAAAACAAAAACGTAACTGAATAATGAAAGTTGCATATTAGCCTACAAAATGTATCAAAAATTGAATAATATACAAAGTTGTTAAAATAAGAAGAGTAAATTCCTGAGTATAGAAGAAAATGCAAGACCTAAAAACATTATATCTTCTTGCTTAGCAAATTCAATGAGAATCAAATAGTATCTTCTTACCTTAATAACATTTCCTTTATTTCCTGGCATCATGTATGATCGATTACCCAATTTGCCCACTTTTCCAGATTTCCAGTAATATCCACTTGACCTTTAATATATATAAACAAGACAAAATGTAATTACTAAATACATTTCTCCCTTTAATGAAAAGAGATATAGTTTTCCTGTCTCGGGAAATGGAAATTCAGTTGTTAACATGTAACAAACAAGCAAAAAAATGAAAATGAAATACCAATAATGTCAGAATATCCTCAGTAATTTTAAAATATAGCTTTATCATATTCGTGATATGGGGATTTTGTAGGGAAATGAATAAAAGTGAAATGTCCAAACACAAAGGAAGAATTCTATTTTCTTGATATTGACAATAACTAAAGATAGCTTTATTGAGTCATAGGAAATTTTACAGGCAGTTTATGCAGTTTTAAAAGCTAAGTGTCCACAAATGTAAAGAAGAAAAGCAAACAAACCAATACCTCAAAATATTAAGTAGCTCTAGTAAGCGATGAATTCCTTATTAAAACCTCAAATGATCTCCCACATTGACACATAACAAAGAAGGTAAACTTTAGCTGTACAGTTTTTAAAACATATTTACTTGAGCCTAGCAAAATATGTCTGTAATTATCAATACAGAGAGTCCAATTATCATTTAAAAAAAAAAGACAAAAAGTTTCCCAACATCACACAGAATAATTAAGATTAGAGCACTAGACTTCTATCTTCCTGGCTGGTGAGTAGCAGGTTCTCATTCTGGCTATGACACTTAATATCTGTGTGACCTCAGAAAACAATGTAACTACTCTAAAAACTCAGTCAAGCTTTAGAATGTTAAGAATCATCTAGAAAGTCTTCCATGGCTTAGAAAAACTCACTCTTGAGTGCTGATTCCAGCAACCCTGATTCTCAGATTAGTACCATGATCCATTTAGAAGTCCAAACTAAGTCCAAATCAGTGAAGGTAAAAGAATTGGCCACTGGGTCATTAAAAGCAGCAAGACACATAATAAACTTTGTCATCCTAGATGACATACAACATGAGATGCTCTTATTAAACCAATTCTCTGATTATCAGAGGGGGTATGTATGCAAGTTATGCACATTTTTCAAAAAATTGGGGTCTAAAGATAAAGACTACTGAAAGTATAACAAACACATTTGAACTGTTAACGTTTCAGAAAGTATTTCTAAGTATTTGATGGTCATCACTTTGAGGACTAAACAAAAGTTAATTTAATATACAAACAGTTTGGTGACATTTAGTATCAGCAAAGGGACATGAAACATGCACTCATATATTGTAGGAAAAGATGATAAACTTTTGACACCTATTTAAAAGACAATTTCTCAATGTGTATCACAATTTAAAATGCACATAACACATTGACCTAAAATTACAGATGTAGGAATTTATGCCACAAACAGCTTTGCATATGTAAGCAAAAATACATGTAGAAGCAAGTCCATGGCAGCATTTATAATCATAACATACTAAAAACATAATAAAGATCTAAAAAAAATGCTATTATATCCACACAATAAATACTACATAGCCACTAAGAAAATTAGGTAGATCAATGCAGTCTGATATAAGAGCACTATGATATATCACATCAAATAGTAGAATATTAATTAATCCCCATTTTTTAGATGAACACATTTGTAAAAAAAAAAGGAAAAGACACAATATATACAACAAATATACAAACTCAAAATAAACATTCATACACATGTATATATGTAGATTTGTACAAAGATAAGACATTTGTAAGGAACATTTTTGGCATTAAAAGTGGTGCTAGAAAATGGGCTGGGAGTTATCCTAGAGCTAAGAAGAAAGAATTATAGATATACACACACACACACACACACACACACACACACACACAAATATACATATATATAACAGCATTTATTTTTAAGATCTTCATTACGTATATATGTGAATTCTTGCCCCCAGAAGTCTTCGAATAAATAAGTGTCTCTAAACATAAACTGGTGTTTATTTGCTGTTGATGGCAACTATCTGGCAGCAGAAGGTAAAGTGTGCACTGCTGTCATAAACGTTCTAGACCATAAGTCAATGAGAAGCATAAAGTTTTTTTTTAAAAAAAAGGAAATAAGAAAGAATAAGACCAAATAGTTCGGAAGAAGCAAAAGTAATGGTAATTTTAAAAACCAACATGCCTCATCTAAGCGACACAAAAACAAAAAAATAGAAGGCCTTTGATATTGCTTGTTCATCAGGAAAAGTCAAAAAATATCCACCCATTAAACACTTTTGTTGGAGACAACAACATATAAAATAGTTCCTTATATAATTTGGTTGATTCTTCTAAAATTCTCTAAGAGTTTCACCCACTCTCTTTCTTCCTTTTCTCTGCTTCCTATGGATCGGAATTCTTGCAGTTTCTTCTCCATCTCTTGGTTCTCCGACTCTAACCGTACTTTCTCCATTCGCAGTTCGTGAGCATTTCTGAAGACATAGATTTAAATAGAAAGTGTGGAGTAAGCAAAGAAAACAAGCAAAGGCAAAATAATTTTATATAATATTTTGCTGTTAAATTAGAATTATTAATAATGAATGAAATATTTTACCTATTTCTTTTGTACTTCTCTGAAAATCTGGTTTTTAAAGTGAGCATTTGCCTGCCATCCAAATCCTGAAGCAAGTTATCTCTTCAAATCTTAGACTTTTGTTTTAAGCATTTCATTGCTAAAGATTCGAAATTATAATTAACTTCATATATAAGACATGTTATTATATATGCATAAATATCTATAACATACAAATAGAAAACAAAGAAAAGATATTTTCTAATTTTCATATTGTTTTGCCTCCTATGTAGTCAAGTAGTTTGAAGTATTTAAAAAAATAGACAAAATATTCATTTTGCTGAACTGGTCATCTTGGAAATTTTAAATAAATCTCTACCTTTGTGCCACATATATATATGATGCAGGGGAAAAGGTAGTACCTGTTTGAGACCTATTAAGAAGAAAGCCCCTATTAACGGTTTTGGTACAGGAGATTCCTGTACGAGAGATTTTTATAATATCTGAAACTCACCAAGTAATTGACAAAAGATATTTTCTTTATTTTACAAAGTCTGGTTATCAGCATTAGCCACTGACTCTTTCTTTCACACATCTAACCAAAACTAATTTCCTAGCTTTTGCTATTACCAGTGCAAATCTCTTCCTTCAATATTACATTGGTGTTTTACTACAACCAAGCAGTGTGGACACCCATGCATGCTATGGTATGGAACAAAATCAAGGCATGATGAAGATCAGAAAGGGAAAATCTTTCTAGAGGTAGCAAGCAATTACCAAAAAGCAATTGGGCCAAGGATATGTCCCAGGAGGACACAATCCAGGAAGATATACAGAACATGATAGGAAGGGCTGTCCAGAGGGTTCAGAGAAGCTGGCTAAGATATAGAAAGAGAGGCATTTATTTTCATTGTATTTACTCCACAGCGAGTAATGTAGCTCCTACCTCAAACAAACACTGCTAGGTGATAAGATATGAAATACAATGGAGCTTCCAGTATTGAGAGGAATAGATAAGCATGAAGGTAATTGACATACAATGTAATAATGCTCTCACTGGAGAAGTGCAGGGGGCTACCTGGGCACAAAGAAAGAGCACATACCCCCCCGCCTTGTGAATGCAGGACAGTTCCTGGAAAAGGTGAAGTCTGAGCTGAGACCTAAAGGATGAAAGGACTTAGCCAGTCAAAGGGAGGTGGTGAAAGCAGTGTTCCAGAAAGAAAGGAGTGTGGACACAGGTAGGAAAAAGCAATTACTAAGTCAAGGACCTAGAAGTTCTCTGTAACAGACATTAAGTGCAGAATAGGAAAAGTAGCAGAAAATCAAACTGCTGAAGTGGACAGGAACATGAAGAGCCTTGCAAGCCATGAGAAATGGGGATTTATAGTATATGAACAATGAGGATCATTAAAGTGTTTTAAGAGAATTGATCAGACTTGCATTTAGAAAGATCATTCAGACTTTATCAACAGAAATCAATTAGAGGGTACAAGGACAGAAGCAAGACAGCTCATTAGTAGAGTATTCCAGTAATCCAGATAATAGAGAATTTGGGTTAGTCTGACTGAGCAGGGGCAATGGAGAGAAAAATGGGAGCTTTGAGAAATGTAAGAAAATAGAACTAACAACTTGGAAACTGACCAGAAGTCGTGACTGACCAGAGAGGGAACCAGGAAGAAATCTAAAATAATCTCATGTTTCTTACTTGAGCAGTCAGAAGGGCAATGGTGTTATTTCCTGAAACAGACCATTCTGGGATGGGCTGCAGGTACAGTGTGGGACGAGCCCTGTGGTTGGTCTCCCTGCCTAAAGTCTTGACAGCCTACCACACTTCACAAACTGCTTACAGGGGAAGAGTTAAAAGCACAAATATAATTGTATCACTTATTTACTTAGAAGACTTTTGATGCTTTTGAGGTCCCACTGTGGTAGAGAAAAAGGGTAAGGCTGAAGAAAAAGACTGGCCCACTGATCAAGTGGTCAAGTTTATGTAAGGTTGGATTCTATGGGTCTCACACAAAACAAAGGATTCCTCCCGAAGACAACATTATACACAAATCCATAAAGGGAAAGCAAGGCCTCTGAGGAAAGCTAAGGTTGATCCTTAGCTTTATTTAATTTATTAAGAGATTTTTTTAAGATTTCCAAAATGATCAGTTCAGCAAAAATATGTACGTTGCCTATATAGAAAAAAAATTGTTGCTTCAAATATTTTGCATTAAACTATTTAAATATATTAGAGCCAAACAGACAGTATGAAAATTAGAAAAAAATTCTAATAAACAGAACAAATCTAAGGGCTAGAAATAAGACCATTTTTTATTTGTTTTAATTATTACATTGCTAGAGGTTCAAAATTGCAGTTTCTTCTCCATCTCTTGGTTCTCCAACTCTAACCGTACTTTCTCCATTCGCAGTTCTTAGGCATTTCTGAAGACACAGATTTAAATGTAGAAAGTAGATTTAAATAAGACTACTTCTTATTTTTAGCCCTTGGAAATGGCTAGTAAGAGGAAAAGAGGGAAAGAGGTCAAGAGGACTAGGAAAACACCAGAATGTCAGACACTGTAAAGGCAATGTCAAATTAACAGGCTTGGAACAAGGAAAAAGTGAGAAAGGAAACTCCAAGGTAATTACCATGAGTGAGTATTCCTGTCCTGGTTTTTAATGGTTTGTGGATCAGGGAGACATATAGGCCAGGGAACAGTGATTCCCCCTTCTTTCCCAACTCTTTAGCCTGATATACAAGTTAGTTATTATCAAGACCCTGCCTTTTTCTCCACCTTTCTTCTCAGACAATTGGATATGTCTGAGAAGGCTCCAGATCATGTGGTCTCTCTGCCTTTGCATGAGTTTCACCCAGGAACTACCCAACTAACTACATCTCTCACTCAAAACGTGGGTACCTCCTCACTCCTGCTCTGGCAGTTTGAGCCATGTTCTCTCCTAGTCCCTTGCCTGTACACATCACACCACACTTCATATTATATTGTCAATGTGACTGTACTCATTCATATCCTCTGCAAGCTTTCTGAGTGCCAGGACTATGACTGCCTACTTTTGTAGCCATCATTCCCTAACACAGTATATAGAAAATGCACATAATATATGTTTGTTGGCTGAATGTTTATCGGCATAGACACATGACCTTGAAAAATGTCACTGAAATCAAATAATGCATGTCCCTTTTTGTTTTTCTATTAACAAAATTGGTAGTATTAGCTATTAGGTAGCTCCGCTCCCCATCAAAAACATGGTATGCCTAATAATGATAATGCCATATATTTGTATAACATTTTCCAATTTATACAATCCTTTTATACTCAGTATTTCAAAGGTAAAGAGAGCATTAGAATAGTTTTGAAGATACTGAATAACAACAAAACTATTGATCTGGATCAAAAAACTCAGAAACTCAAATTAAAATTGATAGCCTGGGCCGAGTACAGTGGCTCACACTTGTCACCCCAGCGCTTTTGGGGATAGAGGCGATAGGATCACTTGAGGCCAGGAGTTTGAAACCAGCCTGGCCAACATGGCCAAGCGTCATTCTATTAAAAATACAAAAATTAGCCAGGTGTGGTGCCGTGCACCCAGCTACTCGGGCAGATGAGGCAGGAGAATTGTCTGAGCCCGAGAGGCAGAGGTTGTAGTGAGTCGAGATCGTGTCAGTGCACTCCAGTGTGAACAACAGAGCAAGACTTGAGACTTGATCTTAAAAAAAAAAAAAAAGTCTGTCCTCATCCCATGCTAGCTGGCTCTTACTGATATTTGAGAGGAAAGCCCTAAGTATTTCCAGTGACTCTAGGTGATGTCAAAGAGAAACAAGGAGCTATACTCTCCCATACCCTTACAAGGTCATAAAATTTCCAGGATGTCAGTAACTATTTGGCTCTGACTGAATACATCTCCCAGTCATCTAGGACAGATCTCTTAGAAAGGGTAAATTCAACATAATGTCCTTCATGCAAAGGGCTAAAGAATGTAGTGCTCTCTATTTCCTGAGTAAGGAGACTCTCACCCTAATAATCTCCCTAAATTTCAGGATAATCCTTACTAAACTTTGAATGGGAGTCAGTAAAAGTATGTTTAACTTTCTGTTGTGTTAATTTAATAGCTAATGAGCCTATTAAAACCTTTATAACTTGTCACTTTGGTTCTTTCAGAATAAATATTTTTAATCCACATTTTTAAACCCTATAGATATATATTTCAAAGTTAAATTCTTATAGATAGAAATACAAGAATGTGAAAAAAAGGAGATAAGAATTCACAAAACTTGAATTCAATTTTAAACAGCCTAATGGAAAAATATAGTCTAAATTACAATATACAGAAGCTTGGCAACTATGCCTACTAAGAAATATGTACATATATATATATAAACTCACCTATATTTTAGCTTTACAGAATTTCCAGGTTTTCCCCACGGAAGAACTACAAAATCTTTTGTGTTCATGATTAACAACTTAATATCGTCTAAAAGTTATTCTGATTCGTGAACACTTCTGTAAAAATAACAAAGACAAAGGAATTATGGCAGAGGTAAAGCAGTATAAGCTACAAATTCAAAATTCCATGTAATTCAGGAAAGTTTTTAAATTTTATGAGAAAAAAGGATGAATCAAAGTTTAAATAGCAAAAACTGTGATACATTGCCAGCCCTTGTCCCCTGCAGTCACATATCAACCAGAGAATCAAAAATATTTGAACAGAAAATAATACCAAAAATACAGCACAAGAATTTACAGAATTTACATTGTGTTAAGCATTAAAGTAAGCAAGAGCTAATGTAAAGTATACAGTAGGTTATTTGTAGGCTATATGCATATACTATGCCATTTTATATAAGGAACCTGAGCATCTTTTGATTTTGGTGTCTGCACGGTGTGAGGGAGTTACTGGAACAAATCTCCTGTGGATACCTAGAAATGACTGTATTTTAAAAATATAAATTATGTAAGTATGTACTAATAAAGTTAGAAATGTAACATGTCTGATGGAACTAAAATTTACCAGTATTTATGGACAGTTGACCCTTGAACAACATGGGGGTTAGGAGGACGACTCCCACACAAGGTCAAAAATCTGTGTATAACTTCTAACTTTCCCAAAATTTTACTAATAGCCTATTGTTCATCAGCAGCCTTACTGATAACATAATCAGTTAATAATTATGTATGTTATATGCATGTATATAATATATTCTTTTAAAAAGTAAGCTAGATAACAGAAAACGTTACTAAGAAAATCATAAAGAGAAAATACATTTCCTATTTATTAAGTGAAAGTGAATCATGATAAAGGGGCTTCACCCTTATTGTCTTCACATTGAGTAGACTAATGAAGATGAAGGAGAAGAGGAGTTGGTCTTGTCTCAGGAGTGGCAGAGGTGGAAGGGTAGAGGACATGGAAGGGGAGCAAGAGAGACAGGCACACAAGTCTAACTATCATTAAAATATGTATATTTATAAGTGGATCCATGCAATTCAAACCTATGTTGTTCAGGGTCAACTGTATAGCAAAAGACCAGGGGACTATTCAACTAAAAGTGAAGGATGCATTCACTGAAACAAACTAAAGCCCATGTTCTGTCTCTTTCTATGGCTAAGGCTATAAAAGTATATCAAGTATTTGTTCTATCTAAAAATAATACACAAGGCTATATAGAGAGAAATTTAAAGAATTTCGAGACACAATCTAAACCTGATAACTGGTTTTTTTACATATATGGCAATATAAAATGAAAATTGAGGTATGTAATAATTACCCAAAGGCATTCTAATATCCTCATTTATCAAGGAAAATTTTAATGATGCTCTTTGGCTAAGATCAGAAATTAGCATATTTGAGAAAGAATTTTTCAACAAGAAATGAAACAAAAAGGATTTTCTGCTTAACTCTGAGTTAACCAGAAAATTAAATTATTCAGAACGCCCTGTTTCCCAAGTATCCCAATTATTCATGGTTCTATAATAATTTACTCTGTAATGCTGAATTACTAAATCACAAGAACAACTGTTAGATTTTTATAGGAATAAAAATGTCCACGTTCTAAGAGCTTTTAAAGAAATACGAGTTAATATTATAGTGACCACAGACTTAAATACCCACACCATTTGATGTAGTCATTTATATTTGTGTTCCAATGTGTGTGCTCATAACCACAATAAACATTTATTAAGGTACTGTACATCCAAGGCAGTGTGCTAAGAGGCATGAAGAGGAGTCAAGGCCCAGGGAGGTTTGTTTTCTGAGCTCAAATGGTTTGGAGTCAAATAGGGTACATAAGACCCTAAATATAAAAGCCATAAAACAATGTAAAAATTATAAGCACTATAAAATTTATACATGTGATAATATAGGAAGTGAAGGAAAAGATAATTCAGCTGGCTAGCATTGAACTAAAACTTTGAAGGAGAAAGGAGGCTTACAGATAAAGATAGGATTAGATGAACATTCCATACTGTTGGAAAGAACAGCTCTTGAATGGGGGACTAATGAATAGTTTCACTTGCTTGGTGTGCAGGTTACATGGAAGAAAAATAAATAACCATGAGTTTAGATATAGTGGCTGAGGCCCAATAATGAGTGGCTTTAAATGCCAAGTTTATGGCATTTGGAATTTATTCTGTAGCTAATAAGAGTCTAATAGGGATTTAGCAGGAAAAACATAAGTCTAGAAGCTTTGTTCTAAGACTCAAGGAAGGACAGCACCAAAATTGGAGTTGCCTAATAAAAGACTACTGAGACATGAAAGTCTGCATAACCAAATAAGTGGTTCTTCGTTGTTGTTCCTTTGGGAGACTATCTCCTCTTTCAATGATGCAACCACTGACAAAAACGTTTTTGGAATGCCTCTTTTGAAACTGTCTGCAGAATCCATTTTAAGACTGGGCGTGGTGGCTTACACCTGTAATCCCAGCATTTTGGGAAGCCCAGATGGGCAAATGACTTGAGGTCAGGATTTCAAAACCAGCCTGGCCAACATGGCGAAACCCTGCCTCTACTAAAAATATAAAAATTAACCAGGTGTGGTGGCATACACTTATAATCCCAGCTACTTGGGAGGCTGAGGCAAGAAAATAGCTTGAACCCAGGAGGTGGAGGTTGCAGTGAGCTGAGATCATGCCACTGCACTCAGCCTGGGTAACAGAGCGAGACTCCATCTGAAAAAAAAAAGAAAAGAACAGAAAAGAAATCCGTTATGCACCAACAAAGACACAAATCCATTTTGTTGTGCCTCATTTAAAATTACAATGATTGTGCAACAGGAGCAACTGTTTTTTTCGCTCAAATCTACCTCCAAATTACTTGGACTGTCTCCAAAACTTAAATCTAACCTGAAAGGGTAGATATTTACCATTTTGTAGGAAATTCTCTAGAAACTTATTATTTGAAGATGATTACAAAATGGAATTACACAAAATAATCACTACATTTTACATAAGTTAGTGGTTACATCATGTGACCAGTTATATCTGTACCTTCAATCCATAAACTTGTATTTAACTGTTCTTTTGTGATTCCCTATTATGGGTACTGAAGTCCCGATGGCAAATAAGCCACAGTGTCTTCCCTTGAGGCCCTCACAATCAAGAGAAAATCCACACAAGCAATCACAGAATCATGGGGCATTTTGATGGAAGAATCTATTGGAAGCGTCTCACTCAGACTCAGTGAGAGTCAATCACCAACTCCTGTTTCTCAAAGCTAAATGAGTGTCAAAGAGAATAAACATACCACAGCAATAGAAAACTAAGATTTGGTTTGCTTTTTACTCCCTAATTTTTGTAGGTAGTATGTTTGTCCCATTTTTATCAAACAGAAGCTACCAAAGGCACCCTTGAAAAACCTCCAAGAATAATCCTGCTGCATCACATAGAGTTTGTACTGCTTTTTTTTTTTTTTTTTTTTTTTTTTTTTGAGATAGAGTCTTGCTCTGTCACCCAGGCTGGAGAGCAGTGGTGCAGTCTTGGGTCACTGCAACCTCTGCTTTCTGGGTTCAAGCAATTTTCCTGCCTCAGCCTCCCAAGTAGCTGGGATTACAGGCATCTGCCACCATGTCCAGCTAATTTTCTTCGTATTTTTAGTAGAGACGGGGTTTCACCATATTGGCCAGGCTGGTCTTGAACTCCTGACCTTATGATCCACCTGCCTCAAACTCTCAAAGTGCTGGGATTACAGGTGTGAGCCACTGCACCTGGCCTGCTTTCTGATCATATTCATGGAATCCAACTACTGGACTTTTGTCTACTATTGATAACTTTGTCACAAAACCTTCCATAATGTTATTATCATTAAAAAAATAAAAGAAGACAAAACAAGAATCCCCAAAGTTAATCTGTCTGATTAATCAAAATAATCTAAATTGCTATAATTTTGTTTCCACATTGATACAGTAAAATTTTATGTGTATGTACATATATATAAAGCTAAACTGATACATGATGATTTATTTTACCAATACAATGAATGAATGAAAATCTGTAAATCTTATTAAAATGAGATGACTCAGATTTATAGCTCTACTGATAGTATGATTTAACCAATAAATGGTCTTATTCAAGGGGGATTTCACTTCACTGAATGCAATTAGTAAGACTTCTTCTCAATTACATATTTTATCAAGTCACCTACATAAGCCAGTTTACTTGTATGAAGAAAAAGGGGAGATTGTAATTCTGAGTCATACTATTTGCCTGTTTCCTTTTGTAAAGCCAACAGAGAATTTAGTCACCTTTCTTGGGATAGCAAGGATATAACAATGTCAGCAACAAGAATAGCAAAGCACAAAGTTTTAGGCTTTAATAAAACCCAAGGAATACAGATAAACTCCTTATTATGCAAACCTTATAGTTCCTTGCGTCTTTTGGTCATTCAATTTTTTTATAATTAAATACCAAAAATTTGGATAAGTGATTTGGAAAAGTTTCCAGTTACCTGATTTATTAGACTAAATCATTTTTCTGTCTACAACCCCATTTCTCCCCACACTTAACACCCAATATAACCCAGAATTGTCCATGATGGTTTGGTGATCCTTCTACACATGTTCCTACTTTGAGAAAGCAACCCACATATGAAAACCTACTGCCACAGAATGGAAACAAGGAACTTAAATGCTCTACACAGCTAGAAACTCGGAGCATTAACAGGTGCAAGAGAACACCATTGGCAGAATGGGAGGTTTGGGAAACCACTGTTTTCAAGATGGGCCACGTTTTATAATTGAAAACTTATCTAAGATTAGTTAATTCTACTCATGACTCAGATCATGTTAGGCAAAAAACTTAAGAACCATAAATAGGAATTTTTCCTTACTGTAGCAATGTTTTGAAAAGGTCTAATCGGCAAGCAACTTTGGATGAATTAACACCTTTAGGTATTTAGTACCATAGCACTTAGAAATCAGAGACCCAAGAAAGAAATGTGAAATGAGAATTTAAAATAATTGTTTTTAATAATTAAAAAACTTTTACTTTTAACATTTCCTGTATCTGTATATATATCTTTAAATCTGTCATACATATATACATCTTTAAAAAATTCTATGGCAAGAACTAATAATACATAATTCCTAGAATAGAATCTTGTGCTGGAGTGTCCTACTAAATAAATATATGTATGCCACATTCTCATAGCAAAAGCTCTAAAATAAAGCAGATATTGATATGGTTTGACTATGTCCCCACAGGAATCTCATCTTGAATTGTAATTCCCATAATACCCACATGTGGTGGGAGGGTCCCCGCGGGAGATAACTGAATCATGGGGGCAGTTCCCTCCTGCCCCCCTAATTTCATGTTAGTAAGTTCTCACGAGATCTGATGGTTTTATAAGGGGTATGCCCCTTTGTTTGGCTGTTATCCTTCTCTTTCCTGCCACCATATGAAGAAAGATGTATTTGCTTTCCCTTTTGCCATGATTATAAGTTTCCTGAGGCCTCCTCAGCCCTGCTGAACTGTGAGTCAATTAAACCTCTTTCCTTTATAAATTTCCCAGTCTCGGGTATTTCTTCATAGTATCGTGAGAACAGACTAATGTAAGTATTAACTTCAGGTTGCATTCAATCTTACAGCCAAACAAGATATCTGACAATAAAATACTGCTTCAAGGCACTAATTAGTACCCAAGTCACCCATTTTTTTTCTTATCCTCTATAGGGGGGTTTTTTGAGGACAACTGAGAAATTTTGCCTTTAGATATTAAGGGACATGTACTGTTTTAAAGTACTTTCAATTTAAAAAATAATAAGCAATATTAAAAGGTACTGATTTTAATGTCAGAAGACCTAGGCATCCTAAATTCACTAGATTTAAGGTCAGATGACCTTTGTGTGATAGCAATCTCTGAACTTCACTTTATCCATGTAGAAAATGGTAAGGATCCTCTCCCCGCTCTAATTTGCAGGATATTAAACAAATGGTGTCTGATCTGTGACCTGTAAATCTGTGGGCTCCTATAACACCTCCAGAGAGCTCATGGTTCAGGGAAAGGGGCAGCCTTAGAAACTACCTAGAGAAGAATATGGAGCATCAAGGTTCTACTTTACCCTTAGCATCTCTGTTTTCATCTTTTTTACACAATGAGCTTTAGTGTTTACCTCTCTGCTCACCAAGTTGTATTCTATTCAATGCCCAGTTCAAAGACTGCCTCTAATCATGAAGATTCCCTCCACCAAAACCAAGCTTCTCATATAGAAAAACCATGTTTATTAAACTCATCTGCTATTGTATGCTACTCTGTGGTTTTTTTGTTGTTGTTGTTTTTGCATCTTTGTTTATACAGATTTTGCTTCCCTAAGTAGCCCAAATATTTGAGGGTAGTCCTACCATTGACTTTTGAATCTCCAGCAATTAGTACGGTGCCTGCACATAATGTAGTGCCAATACTAATGTGCTATGTATGAATTTTTTTTCTGCTGCTTTTAGTTTTTTACACAACCTACCCTATGGAAAAAACTTAAACACATCCTCTTTCCCACTGCAACTAAGCTTCTTTTTTCCGTGTTTTCTACTGACCATGATAAGCAAACAACAAATACACATTGAACACTCTCTCCCTGCCAGGAGTCAGGGAAAGCACTGAGGAACAAGGTCAACCAGACAGGTATATCAGTCTTCACTGAACTTACACTCCAGTGAAGGAAGTAGCTAAAAATAAAAAAAACAAATAAAATCATTGCAAAAATGTATTAAGGGTCTTGAAAGACATAAAGGAACTACTTTCAGGCAATTCATTTGTAATACGATTGGTAAAATCATGGCAGGTCAGGGCAAGCCTCTGGGTAGACTATAAGATAAGCTAAATTGGAGAAAGGTGGAGGGAGTTATTTTTGCATAAGCATACAGTCTGTATAATTTTAATCCTGTGTAGCTTCAACTTTACTAGATTTTTTTAAATGAGCCTTGCTAACTTTAGATTTGAAGTCAAGCTGTAAAATATATATAACTGAACCTTATATACCTGAGTCCCTCTACTGCTGATTTGGGAAGAAAAAAATAAACTTCCATACCTTCAGATTTCTCAGGAATCAGGCACCCCGCACCCATAGCCTTTACTTGGGAGGAGTAGACTTCAAGAACGAAGCGGGTGCATGTGAAACGCGCAGGCAGATTAAAGGCTACAAAAGGGAATGAAATATAGTTTCTCAGGGCGTCAATTTTTTCATAAGGTGCGAATGACTTCAAAGTATAAAACAGGCTAGTATTTGAAAGGGTCGGGCTGCAGAAGAGGTAGGACTGATGACGTCCCCAATTTCACTGTCTGGGGTTCACTCTTAATTGATTTCTCCATTAGTATCTTGGGCTGGGAATTCTTTTGTTTATACAAAAGGCTTTCAACTCCCCAGGCCAGGGCCTGTCGTGCTGCCCGCGGGCCTGGCACTGTGTCATCAATGGCAGGGGCTCAGCTGGGCCTGTGCCTCCAGCTGCACCCGAACTGAGTCTCCTCTCCAGCTGCGCTGCCCACTCCGCTCCCCGCACCAGCTAGCGCCGGCTTGCTGCCGCAAAATCAGAGACCCTCCTCCCACCATATCCACCCGCAGCCAGCCAACCCACCTGGAGACCCCAGCCTCGCGTCACCGCCGACTGCTGGCTGCAGAAGCTGCCGGGAGTTTCCCTCTTGGTCTCCTTGGTTACCGCGTTACCTCGGTACCCATAGCAACCAGAAAGCTGGGTTGTGCCACTGTCCGCCGGCAGAGGACGCAAGGGAGCCAGCGAAATGAGAGAGAGGAAGGGGTGATACAGGACGGAAAGGGCAGAGAAACTCAGGCTCCGGAAGCTTTCTGCCAGAGGGGATCTTGGAGATTAGTTATATGCTAACCCTGAGCACGTGTCATATTCCAAGCACGAGTGAGAGACTTATATGTAATATTTGATTCTTCCTCATAGCAAGCCAGCTTAAATCCAAGAAAATTAAGGCACAAAAAAATTGACTATCTTAATCCAAAATTACCAAGCTAGCAAATGGCAGACCCAAAAACTAGTTCAAGGAGTTCAGTCTCAGAACTCCCATATATATGCTATGTTTAAATGATTTATCAAAGCCTATCATAGCCAAAGTCAACAGAGAATCCAGGTCTCCTCGAAAGTCCAAAAATCTCTTTTATTTGTATGGAATACATGACCTGTGAAGCCTAATATATATAAAACAAAAAGCAAATATATGCGCGCGCGCGCGCACACACACACACACACACACACACACACACATAACCCACACTTCTCAACTCTTCTGTTCCGAGCAAAGCTGCACCTGTAATGAATTTATCTTTGGCTTCCTAAATATGCTGTTTTTTAATCTCCCTTTTTATATACTGCAAGTAGGATGTGTGGTTGGTACTGCACTGTACAGGCTTCTATGCTTAAACACATTGCATCTATCTAGATACCAGACTAACAATCCTAACCATTACAGTTAATATACTAATCTTTTCACCATTACTTTGACAGTGCTACACCTGCCAATACCCATTAAAAAAATAATAATTTCACTTGGCAGACTCAATTATATAAGATTATAACCACTATGGATAAGAGAATACAATGGCAGTCTTCTGGTTATGAGTCCTGGATTTTGGAGTCAGGCAGACTCGAGTGTAAGTTCTGGTACTGCCATAACTTACCTGCTCTGTGACCGTGAGCAAGTAACAAAGCTGAGTCCAACTGCTTACATGAGATAACGGTACACTTACATGAGATAACGGTCCATACGTGGTCTAGTATGGAAGAGTAAATGAAACAATAACTATTAAGTATATAGCTCTAAGCCAGGCCCATAGTAAGTGCTTAATAAATAGTAAGAATCAGTGGCAGTGGTGTGGCTATTATAGTGTTCATGGTATAATTTTACCAACTCCTTCCTTTAACTCTAATACAAGGACAAATTTCAAGTGGATGTGCACTAGTACTGATTTTCTTGTGCAGAGTAGTTCCCATAGAGAGGTGTGCTCTTCAAATTACCAAAGATATCTTCAGCTTTCTTCCATTCACTGATCTATTCATTTATTTATTCCACAAATATTTATTAAAAGCCTATTTCCTAAATCCCAAAAATACTGCAGTGAAGAAATCAAAGTCCCTCCTGTTTTCAAATTTATTTTAACAGGAGCAGAAAGGCAATAAACAAGTATAAATACATGTCAGCTGCTATGAAGAAAACTAAAACCAAATAAAGGACTTCTATTTTAAGTTAGATGGCTAAAGAAGTATCTGAATGCAAGGAAAAAGAAAGATATGGGCAATTAGAGCAAGGAACATTCCAGAGAGAATAGTAAACACATGTCAATTATGTCCCAATAAAGAGAAGTATTTTTCAAAAAACCTCTCATCACTTCTGCAAAGGACCTTTACTTCAAAACAGAATTCCTATAATGCATTGACTTGCACAATAGTAAAATTAAACTCATTTATTACAAAAATAAAGTAAAGCCAAACTCATTTTTATGAGTTTAATTTTACTGGCACTTTTCGAAAGCATTAAAAGGACATTGTCTTATATTTAGAAAAATCGCTTATGCACAGTTATGAAAAGGCAAAGCAGAGACAAAAATAAGCCTATGTCAAGTCACAGTAAAATAAAGATTATGAAGTTTTGTCTTTCAGAACAATGATTAGTGACAAAATGAAATAAAACGCGTCAAAACAATTACAGCTCTAGAGAGATGATATTGTCTCCACTGAAGCAGAGTGTGTTTAACTCACACCAGCAATTCTGCACACAGTTTACCACAACTCAACCAAGAGCACAGTATTCCCGAGGGTTTTTCCAAACTCAAGCTTCATTGTGCCTCTGCAAAGACAGGATTTGAATACAAGTTTTCTGAACTGGAGATATGCAATTCAAAGAGATAAAAATTACCTGCAATGCAGAAATTAAAAGCACAGATTTACATGACTCATTTTACTAAGCTTGAAATGAGGGTCAGAGACTATAAACAAGTATTATCCAAAACTCAAAAATAAAGTAAAGCCAAAACAGCATGTCTTTTCAATGCCGTAACTAGAATACTGTTGAAGATAAACTGAAGATTACACGATTTTCTAAGAAAGTGTTGATTTGCTTATCATTAACTATTATAAAGTCTCTGTGTAATGTTACATGTTTATTTGAAGATTTTTTCACCTGAATCTTTCATATCATTTGTATCTAGATATGTAAATAATGTCTGTCCTTTAAATAAAATAATTTCAAAGCTACTGGCTTATTGCACTATACAACTTTAACCAGTTTTGTATCTAACCTAGAAATCTCATACTAATACTTCCTCTCAATGCCTGTATACAGTCAGTCTATCAAATTTTCTTTAACCAGTGTTACCATTCTAATAATTCCTTCCTTAATGAATTAAACTATCACATATACATTCTCTATTTATAGAATATCTTGTTTTTAAGCATTGCGATTATATTTTGATAATACCAAACCTTTGGAAGAAAATGGGATACATAGCATATCTGCAGCTTTTCAAAAGTATTCTCTCAATTTCCATTCACTCCTTTGCCCTTCAAATTCTTTTATAGGCAAAAGTTTGTGGGCATTTCATGGTAGCAAAACAAAATTCTTACCATCTCCTTTTTTACGAGTCCTGAAATGTGGTGTTACTTTTACATGAAGCAACTACTTTCTTTATGCCTTGGTAGACGCTAAATATAACATCCTATTACATATGTATGGGGTTTTTCAACTTGTCAAGAAAAACTGAGCTTTAGAGGCAACATAAAATTACAAAAAGGCTTTTGCAAAAACCTAAATTACTATGATATAAATATATTTAAATGCATCCAAATGGCTAAACTTAAAGGAAAAAAAGAGAAAGAGTTAGGAGGTGACATTGCCCTTTTATAATTGTTCCTGCTTTGTAATTTCTGCCTATCATCCATGACACAGAATTTCTCAGCAAATACATTTTCATTATTACTGATGTTTCACAAGTGGAGGAGAGTCATCAGGGCATACGATAAATTTTCAATTCCTGCAATGTGCAGTGTCTTCCAAATTGAAAAATAAATGTATAGGCTTGTTGAATGAGCATAGTTAAATTTATTCAACATTTATTCAACACCTGTTCCATTCCAGGCATGGCCCTAAGATATGTACAAAGGTGAACAACGACAGCACCTCTGTCCTCGAGCAATTCAAGTGACAGTTTACAAATAATTAATACATAACATATTAAGTACTATGTTTAAAAGGAATGGGAGAATTACATGTTTTTGGCATGGCCAGAATATCAGGTTGGTTCAAACACAGTATATGTGGCGAAGAGATAAGAATGAAAATTTGTGCTAGGAGCACATTAAAAAGCACTTCAAATGGTACCCTATTTATAATGAAAACTGAATTTTTTTTCTTCTCTCCTTCTCTTGATACCCACAGATAATTTTTAAAGCCAATTTTTAAGAATCTCAGTATGTGTACATCAGTGTCTTTCAAGGGTAATTCTGGTGGCAATGTACAAATAGAGCAAATAAAGAAGAGAAAGGCAAGAGACAGTTTTAAAATGTGGTTATATTAGTCCAAGATAGAAATTAGAAATAATAAGTCTTGAATAAATCAATGCAGAGGGCATAGGCCGAGTGAAACAGATTCAAAGGATTTTGTAAACTACCAATAGGGCTTGGAGACCAAGGATATGTGCTTAGTCAGGAATATGGAACAGAGCTGCTGATCCCATATTTGATAGCTTGGCTCACTAAGTAGATGATACTAATAACCAATGCTGGAACAAGAGAATAAATAAGCTCACAGAGAGTAGGGTCAAGGAGGCAGGGCAGATTGAGTTTTTACTCTTGTGATAGATACCAGTAGGGAGGAATACCAAAAATATAACAACAGAGCTCTAGTTATTTAAGAGACAACCTCATATATTAGGTTACCATTAGCATGTAATCAGATAGTAGCCAGAGCTAAAGGAAAGGTTTAAATTGTCCAAGGAGTCCTCAGAGAAACAATAGAAGACATGGTATTGAAAGAGGCATTCATTCAGCATTTCTAAAATAGACCAATACAAAACCCATACTTGGCCTTCCTTATCCAGCAGTGTTCACTGCCAGGTCTTCACAAATGAGATTGGCAACCTGAATGAATGCATTACTGTAATCATCGATTCTTCTCAGTGTTTGTCATGCATTTACTGCAGACAAGCATGCACTACATCAACTGATAAAAAAAGAACTGGCACTGGTCATTGAAGCTTGTATTGCCAATATCAATATTCCTATTACAAAACTTTTTAACTCGTTTATGTATATATGGGTCCAGAGAAGCTGAAGATATAATTCACATGATGGAGTCTTTAGAAAGTCAATTTCAAAAAAAAAAAAAAAGGAACACTTTATTTGAACATAAATAACATTGTTTTCACTATAACCTCAAGTTGATACAATCACGTCTCTTAATGATGGGGATATGTCTTAACAAATGCGTGATTAGGTGATTTCATCATTGTGCAAACATCAAAGAGTGAACTGACACAAGCGTAGATGTTATACACCTAGACTATTTGCTGTAGCCTATTGCTTCTACACTACAAGCCCCTACAGCATGCCACTGTATTGAACACTACACACAATTATAACACACTGATCAGTATTTGTGTATTTAAGCATATCTAAACACAGAAAAAGTACTGTGAAAATGCAGTATAAAAAACAAAAAAACGGAATACCTATGTAGGGCATTTACCATGAATGAAGCTGGCAGAACTGAAAGTT